CCAGTTTTTGAGGCTTTATCTCTCAGCTCCATGTTTGTACTTATTTAGCTCAATTTTTTTATATAAAAAAATCTTTGTCTTAGACTCTTTTTAAAGTTTTTCCTCAGTTTGGGATGTCATTTAGAGTTAAGTACTTAGTTGAAAACCTTAATTTTGTACCTTTTTAATGGATCTTAAGATAATAAGTGATTTACAGTGGCGTAAACCTTTTTTTCTTCTGTTTTCATAACGTCAAAAACAACAAAAGTTAATTACAAGCTCTTAGTAAAAGTTGGCAAATCTGCAGCGCAGCTTCGATTTTTCCACAATGCTTTTTATGTTTCTCAAACAAAGCAGAAACCAAAAAAGTACTAAAGAAAACAAAAACTCAATCTTACAGCTTTAAACCTTCTGTTACAATAACACTTGAGCAGATTTGCTACAAATAAACTATCATACTTAGAACTGACATGTTTTTATGCCTTTCCAGACGTTCCGTCCGGCTGCCATGATCATCGAGCGTTCGATGGATTACGGGAAATCGTGGCAGGTTTATRGTTACTTCGCCAACAACTGCCGGTCGATGTTTCCAAGCATCTCTGCAGGCCCCATGYTCAAAGTGGACGATATCATCTGTGACACCCGCTACTCAGACATCGAGCCGTCCACAGAGGGAGAGGTGAGTCCACTCTTTTCACGTATAATGGATAGATTGATRATTTCAAACAAATGAAAAGAAATGAAATTATATCCAGATAAGATACACATTGAACATGTCACCATTTTTCTCAGTAAATATATTACTAGAGGTGCTAATGACATGAAATTTTCAACAGATGTTGGTAACAACCCAAGTGATCCATACATACAAAGAAATCAAACCATAAATGTCCAGAAATGAAGTTATTTGTAATAATGTGGATATGTACTGGTATGTATGCATGTGTATGTATACATACAGTACATACACATGCAAATGTACATACCAGTACATCTAAATGCATAACAAAAAAAATGTTTTTCATCATAAGCGTCATCAGTCATTTTAGCTACTTGTTCAAAAAAGAGTGAGGAGTSAACACTTTTTWAATTCCCACCCATTTATAATATTTTTCTTCYATGTACCTTTATAACAAAATACATGTTACAGTGTCAATTAACATTGAAAACACAATTTTCTACTATATTTAAATCATCTAATGTTATCCAGTATATTTTACTTTTTACACACTGTATATCCATCTTCCATATAACTGTTTAGAAATATGTTGTCTTAATCATTTAGTTATCTTTTTTAAATGTTTGATGTTTTGTTGTTGTAGGTGATATTTCGAGTGTTGGACCCAGTATTTGCGATCGAAGACCCCTACAGTTTGAGGATACAAAGTAAGCTGGATCTGCCATTAAAAAAACTGTGACTTTATTTTACAATTAAAGTAGTAATACCTCAAAACTAATCAATTGAACGTGTTTGAAATAAAATTAGCCTTTTATTTACACAGTTTGGGCCAAACTATAAAACTGACTTCTGCTAAACCTGACACGTTGTTTAATTTAATCTGAGTGTTACTCCCTGCTTGAACTCTCTCATCTGAACAGTTTCCTGTAACTTTCAGTCAGAACTTAGATTCCCACAGCAGAGCTGAGGGGTCAAAGGTCAGACAGGAAGAGCACTGAAAAGAATGTCACACACGGAAGCAAGTCGGCCTTTGTAAACTCTTTTTACATCCAGGCTGAGATGACTTCCTCTGGTGCAAAAACAAAGAGTGTGTGTGAAATTTGTGGGCGTACAGCAGAATCCACYAAGTCCAAAACTCTCCAAAAACAATGCTCCGAGTAAAAAAAGAACTTGAGTGCAAAATCCCTTTAGACGTTTATTTAAATCTGACTGAAAGCAGAGCAATACCGTGGATCTTCCTGTTAATTTAACACAACTGTTCTTCTGTGTGAAGACATGCTGAAGATCACGAACCTCAGGGTGAAGTTCATCAAGCTTCACACGCTGGGAGACAACCTGCTGGACTCCCGTGAGGAGGTGACGGAGAAGTACTACTACGCCCTCTACGACATGGTTGTCCGTGGAAACTGCTTCTGCTACGGTCACGCCTCAGAGTGRGCGCCGATCGACGGACAACTGACCGGAGCTGAGGGCATGGTACGCCAAACACTTTATTTCTTCATACTTTGAAAGTGGCTTTCATTATTACAGTACATTATTTGTTTTGTAAATTGGAAGGCAGCTTTGYTTGTTTTTCAAGCCGATTGGTTTARACGTTGTMTGCAGGTCCACGGCCGCTGTGTGTGCAACCACAACACAGATGGCCTGAACTGTGAGCGTTGTCAGGACTTTTACCACGATTTGCCTTGGAGACCTGCAGAGGGACGAAACACCCACGCCTGCAAGAGTGAGAACACCAATCAGTCCTTGTTTGGTCCTTGTTAAGGATAGCTGGTGTATTATACTAAATATTAATAATGTGAATTGTATTTTGGCCATTTTTTAAAATCAGGGTGCGAGTGCAACCATCATTCCACATCATGCTACTTCGACCATGCCGTGTACGTCTCGACCGGCGAGGTGAGCGGAGGTGTGTGCAACGACTGTCAGCACAACACGGTGGGCCGACAGTGCGAGCAGTGTGCACAATTCTTCTACCAGCACCCCCACAGAGACTTGAGAGACCCCAACATCTGTGAACGTACGTCTTTCCCTCCTCACAGCCTATGATCTACAAAACTTCTGTGGCCACGGATGCCTTGAACTTGTTTTATTTTCACAATTTTCACTAATCTGACATGTTTTTCTATTCCTGCAGCTTGTGACTGTGACCCGGCCGGGTCTCTGCAGGGCGGACTGTGTGACTCGCACACAGACGTGGCTGCAGGGATGATCTCAGGTCAGTGCCGGTGCAAAGCCAACGTCGAGGGAGAACGTTGTGATCACTGCAGACAGGGACACTATGGACTGGGAGAAAGTCCCGAAGGCTGCCTGCGTGAGTCACAACTACACTTCAAACTGGAAACATTTCAGTTTCAACCCTGGGCTTTCACCTATTGAACAGTGGTGGGCACAGCTAACCAAAAAGTTACATTCACTCATTAACCACTAATGCYCTAAAGCTAAACCGCTAAAATGTTAGTGGAAGCTAACCTCTYAAACGACTGTCACAAGTCTTCAGATTGGTGGGACTGGCATAAACCTGTTAGTTCTCATTGGTTTYATTTCAAGGTGGGTGGGTTAGTTAGTTATTATTGGCCAATCCAAACCATAGTTATAGCTCTGTCTAACTTGTTATCCTTACAGTTTACCCCTATCAGAATAAAAGGATTTCTAGATCAAGTTTTTTGAGAAATACCGTTTAAAACCAGTTGAACAAGAAACAGCACACTTTCTCTACCATATTTTATAAGTAAATTTTGTATTTATTTAAATAGTGTTAATTTTTTAAACTCAGTTTAAAATTTAACTGCTAAAGATGCTACATGCTAAACACACGGTGCCAGAGATGTTCAGCACTGCTTGTAAGAGGGAACTAGTTTTTATTTAATTCTGGATAAGTGGCATAAAAATAATAAAATGTTAAAACGTTTTACACTTGTGAATTTTTCAGAGGATTTAAAATTAGCGGTGCCCAGTTTACTGGAAGCTAATCGGTTAGCTAGCGATTTCGAAAGTTGGCAAAAAAAAACTAATCCACTAAATAAGAAGCTAATTCCGCTTTTAGCAGATAAGCAGAACTGTGCACACCACTGCTACTGAAGTGCACACACAGTATAATATTTTAAAATTTATGATTTTGTTGAAGACAAATGAAAACTTGAAATGAAAAAAGAAATATACATGATTTACGAAAGAGGATTAGGGTCACTGATTAATTTTTTTTCTCAGAATTCTGAGATTAAAGTCAGAATTTTTTCCCCCAGTGGCCCTAATCCTACAGAAAAGCAAAGTTAGGTTGATCCAAACAGATAAACATGTTGTTGTTATTGAATTGTGGTGCATCTCGGCAGCTTGCACCTGTAACCTGCTGGGAACAATGCCAGGAGCAAACACCTGCGATTCAGACACAGGACGATGCTTCTGCAAACGYCTTGTCGAAGGACACAACTGTGATCAATGTCTGGTGTGTCTCCAAACGTCATGTCAGATTTGACCCACATGCACGAGTCGCATCCGTCTAACTTTGATCTWTCTCTAAACAGCCGGAGCACTGGGGTCTGTCGAATGACATGGACGGCTGCAGACCGTGCAACTGTGATCAAGGAGGTGCAGTCAACAACAAGTGGGTCTAACTAAAACGGATTCAGGTTTACATCATCATACGATGGCTGACAAWCATTGCTTCTGTTGTCATACCTGCCGTGTGTTTGTGTAGCTGTGACCCTTACTCAGGCCAGTGTGTGTGCCGGGAGCACATGTTCGGARGTAGCTGCAATCAGGTGGAGTCCGGGTTCTACTTCATCTCTTTGGATCACTACACGTACGAAGCTGAGGATGCCAAACATGGACCTGTGAGTGCGTAGCATCCCCTGTGCTTTAATGCTGCTTCCTCCTTAGACGCMTATGTTTCTGTCTCTCAGGGCGTTGCATTGGTACATAGACTTTATCCTCAGGAGAGAAGCCCCACATGGACCGGGATGGGCTTTGCTAACGTCCCTGAGGGAGGGTTTTTAGAGTTCAACATCGACAACATCCCAGAGACAATGGACTACGATGTCCTTATACGCTATGAGCCACAGGTAAGAGACATGATGACTCTTCAGACYTGCCTTTGTCMTCTTTTTTGACTACGTCTTATTCAACAAGGCTAAAATGTTCAAACATGTTTAGAAAGTTGCTGTGTTTGCCGACAGTTGCCACATCAGTGGGAGCAGGTGGATGTTCGAGTAGAGCGTCCAGTCTTCAGCCCTCAAGTCTACCCCAGTCACTGCATAAACTCTGGGCAGGGCGGAGATGAGCAGTATACCTCTCTGTCGCCTGGATCCAGGTAATACATCTCTTTAAGTAAACTAGGGATGGGCGATATTGACAAAAAAATTAATCACATTTAATTGTAATATTTAGACGATAACGATTAATATGATGATTAATCCCCTGGAGTCCCTGGATGCCTGCTTGTCTCTCTAGTGGGAAAGATTTGCTCTCCGTAAAAATCTGTTCTACATTGTGTCAGAAGTAGAGACTTCAGGCTATACATCAATTTTTAAATTGTGTTGTGGTTATGATAACATCGAGCATACTGACCAGGGGAATCTTTAGTCACTCTGCATGGTGGCATTAATCATATTAATCAAGTGCCAAAAAATATTAGATTAAAGTTTTTTTAATTGCTCACAATAAGATTTTGCCCAACCCTAGTGTGTAAAGTCACTGATAACGCACACTGATCCTGTGCTGTTTTCCAGGCATGTCCTGCTGAATAAKCCCGTGTGTTTCGAGAAAGGATTGAATTACACGATCCGTCTTTCATTCCCATACTACTCATCAATCGGCAGCGTCCAGAGTCCWTACACGCTCATCGACTCCGTATGTTGAATTTCTACGTTCATGTTTTTCTCTCTAAAGTTGCTCATCGTTTACTTACAAACTGAAACCTCTCTCGGATGAGCTTCACATGAAGTCACCTAACAAGCTCTTTATGGTTTCCTGAAACCCATCAACCCTCCACGCTGGTTTTAGTTGGTGTTGATGCCTCGAGTCAGCGAGTTGGACWTGTTTCACGGGGCAGAGGGCGAAAAAGCGTGGGATACATTCCAGCGCTACAGATGTCTGGAAAACAGCCGGAGCGTCATCAAAAGCCCCATGACGGACATCTGCAACCACTACATCTTCAGTGTGTCTGCTCTGCTTCAGAAAGGAGCCGTGGGTATGAAGTTACTGTTTTAATGTGAAATGGATAGAAAAACATTCTCAGTTCTAGACAAAGAGAAACAGCTCAATGACAGTTACTACATCTACTAAAGATGCTCAATATTTGGATCCTTTTTAGGGAAATATTTCTAAAATTATTCTTTTCTTTTCTTTTTGTTCCCAGCATGTGAGTGTGACCCTCATGGTTCGCTCAGCACCATCTGTGAGTCCAGCGGCGGTCAGTGCCGGTGRCGACCCAACGTGGTCGGCAGGAACTGTGACCATTGTGCTCCGGCTACTTTCCTGTTCAGCCCCACTGGCTGCAGACGTGAGTGTCAGAAATCACTCCACCGTGCCGTGACGTCCACGCTCTTCCCCCCACGCTAACGTTGATTTCGCCCTCAGCGTGTGACTGCGACTCGCTGGGCTCCACCAGCCCCTTCTGCCACGCGGCGACCGGACAGTGCGAGTGTGTCCCCGGAGCCACGGGTCGTCAGTGTTCCCACTGCCTGCCGGGTTTTTGGGGCTTCCCTCAGTGCCGACCGTGTCACTGTAATGGGCACAGCGAGTACTGCCACCCTGAGAGCGGAGAGTGTCAGGGCTGCAGGGACTTCACCACCGGACATCACTGTGAGAGGTYCGAGGGATCATCTGTACCTTCAGTTTACTTTGATTTACTTTAAATGTCACATTTCTTTTGATTTATTTCTCAATTTTAGTATATGACTATGATTATTAACCCTCTTATTTAGCCAGARCAAGCCTTAGTTGTACACAACATACTGAAACACACACCTGATTGTACTAATTATCTCATCTTCTTTGTTAGGGCTGAATACAAAAATATCATTTGGTTGTCATCAAGATGAAAGGAGGCTAAATTGATCTATTCGTTAATAGCTTTTAAATGCACAATATCYGCATTAACATCGGTATCGGCCGATATTGATAATTTTTTAGAATATCGGTATRGGCCCGATACARAAAACTTGGGCCAATATTAATGTCTGATATTGATTTRCCARGTTTTAGTTTTGTYTTTCTGTTTTYGYAGGSAAAATGTTTGGTTGAGTGGTATCTGTTTGATAATGATGGTGATGTTGACGCTGCGCAGCCAGGAGTAACTGAAGTAGAGCCATGTCAGAGGTCTGGTAGTTTATTTACYGTATCGAAAAAAGACACAATCTATTTGTGTGTATGTGTATACAAAGAATTTGTGTGTTTGTGTAATATCAGTTAATACTGGTTATCGGCCATAGCAGCAATAATTATATTGYATATCGATATCGGCTGAAATTTTCATATTGGTGCATCCCTACTGTTAAAGMATTATATAAAAGTTGCAGGGGTCCCTTTTTGAGTTTTTGGGGGCAGAGGTAGGTCTGAGTATTACTGACTAAGCAGTAGAAAACAGTGTTAAAAGCTCCTAAAACTGGACTTCAAAAAGGAAAACAAATTAAAAAAACAGGACCGGGCCCAGCTAGAAGCCTTTAGGAAGTCCACTTCTAAAAGCCCAATTCCAATGAAGTTAGGYCTTTGTGTAAAACATAAATAAATACAGAATACAATGATCTGCAAATCATTTTCAACCTATATTAAATTGAATACACACCAAAGACAAAATATTTATTATTATATATATTATATTATTATATTATATATATGGCCCTGTGATGGACTTGCGACCTGTCCAGGGTGTACCCCACCCCTTGCACTGTGACTGCTGGATATGGGCACCAGTGACCCTGAAAGGGAGAAGCGGGTAAAGATGATGGATGGATGGATGGATGGATGGATGGATGGATGGATGGATGGATATTATACACTAATATGTATATAGCAAATATTCACTCATTTTGAATTTGATGCCTGCAAAATGTTCCAAAAACGCTGAYACAGTCATGTTTACCACTGTAATAATAAGTGTTTGAGAACTGAGGACAGTCTTTTTTTGAAGCGTTGCAGGTTRAAGTTCAAGTTCAAATTCAAGTTTATTTATATAGCGCCAAGCCACAACATACGTTGTCTCAGGGCACTGTACATAAAAAGAATAATCTAAAGAAGAAACCAGCAGGCTGTGTTGAATCACTTCATCACAGTCTCCCGTCCTGAGCAAACAGTGGAGAGGAAAAACTCCCTGCTAATCAGGAAGAAACCTCCAGCAGAACCAGGCTCAGGACGGGCGGCCATCTGCCTTGACTGGCTGGTTGAGGGACAGGAAAGAGACACAGACAAACACAGAAGAAGAAGTCCGGGAATGGTCCAGGTACACCTTCTTCTTGAAGAGACAAAGAAAAAATGTGACAGAAATAATTACAATAAACACGAAGAGAAGAGAGATTAAAGTCAGCAGCAGAGTGAGGAAATGTGCTCGGTTTGTGCTCCAGCAGTCTAAATCTATAGCAGCAGAAATGAAGAATAATTCAGGAAACTTAAGTCTAACTACAGGATTTATAAAAGGAAAGTCTTCAGTCTAATCTTAAAAGTAGACAGAGTGTCAGCTTCACAGACAGAAACTGGAAGTTGGTTCCACAAGAGAGGAGCTTGATAACTGAAAGCTCTGCCTCCCATTCTACTTTTAGAAACTCCAGGAACCACAAGTAAACCTGCTGTCTGAGAGCGAAGTGCTCTGTTAGGAAAGTATGGAACAATAAGATGTTTAATATATGATGGAGCTTGTTTGTTCAAAGCTTTGTATGTTAGGAGGAATATTTTAAATTCTATTCTGAATTTGACAGGGAGCCAGTGGACAGAAGCTAAAACTGGAGAAATATGATCTCTCCTCAACTTTCATTAACACTCTAGCAGCAGCATTTTGGATCAACTGAAGACTTCTTAGAGTTTTTTGGATGTCCAGATAATAAAGAATTACAGTAATCCAGTCTAGACGTGATAAATGCATGAATCAGTTTTTCTGCATCATTTTTGGACAAAATGTTTCTAATTTTAGTGATAGGCAGGTGGATTTTTCTCTTATTCTTGTTTGATGAACTTCAGTTGCTCAATAGTCCCAAGTCTCTGTTATGGTACTTTGTGAAAAGTAGATTTAGGTTAGTGATCAGGCAGATTATCCCTGGTACTTTTTATAATTTCAGCTGGTTTCTGACTTACTCTGCAGATAACTGAAACTAATCACCACGTGATGCTGTTTTTCTTCATCTCCAGGTGTATCAGTGGTTATCATGGTGACCCAGAACTTGGTTCAGGAGYCCACTGTCGTCCCTGCATGTGTCCTGACGGGCCGCGCAGTGGTCGTCAGTTTGCAGACAGCTGCTACCTCCTGACCAACCAGCTGGTGTGCGTGTGCAGCCACGGCTACAGAGGTGTGTAAAGACAAACCCAGACYTCATTACAGCTCCCCTGTAATTAGCCCTTTGCTGTATGCTCTCCTGTTTACCTGTTTCGTTCCCTCGTTTAGGCGCCAGGTGCGACGAGTGCGCCCCGGGATACTATGGCAACCCTCTGATTCCAGGAGGGAGCTGCATGCCCTGCCAGTGCAACAACAACATCGACATGCARGACCCCAGGTCGTGTGACGCCCGCACCGGCGCCTGCCTCAAGTGCCTGTACCACACGCAGGGTCACGCGTGCCAGCATTGCAAAGTGGGTTATCATGGCAACGCCGCCACACAGAGCTGCAGGAGTGAGTACCGACATCCAAGAATTACTTTCTTCAGTCTGCCTGCTTCCAAAATGACCTTATGTAACAAAGACCTGTCTTCTGTGAAGAGTGTATGTGCTACACGGTGGGGACGGTATCTCAGGCCTGTTCCTCCTCGGATGACTGCGAGTGTGATCAGCGTACCGGACAGTGTCCCTGCCTGCCCAACGTGGATGGTCCGAACTGCGACCGCTGCGCACGCGATACCTGGAACATAGAGAGCGGGTCGGGCTGCCAGCACTGCGACTGCGACCCCGTCCACTCCTACGGATCCTACTGCCATGAGGTTGGACAGACAAAACCACAAACAAAACATCACTTTTTTGTGTAGAAATCCATTTCGGACATTAGAGTAAGGACATTTGCTAGGTCCAACTTTATTTGGGCTTAATAAATCTTCAGGATTACTTTTCCAGACTCCTTCTTWGGATGTTGTGTTTGCTTCGACTGACTCGATTTGCAATGAGTTTTTGGAACAGTCTCATGTTGAAGCATAAAGTTGGTGCCAATCATATGCCTTCCAGATGCTACTGTATGGTGGATAAAAGCTAACCTTTAACARCACCGACTGAAAAAACTCAAGTCCAAATCAGGCCAGAACCTCCAACAACTGATTAGATGAACTCTTTCTGCTTGAAAGCCAAAGAAAACTAAATGAAACAMCCAGCAGCTTTAAAAACCGTTATCATTATCAGCGTTTGCAGTAATTGCTCTCTCATAATGTTCAGCTGAACCGAGTCACAAAATCTTATCTGTCAACGAGCTGCTGTTGCCAAAGTCTTTACTCAGTGTGGAAAATTCCCCTAAAAACTGCTCTCTCTGTGTGCAAAGCAGCAGGACTAAAACTAACCCACCCCATCACAGAGACCTGTGTTTGGATATTCTTTTACAAACACACTGCAGGTTAGGAAGTTGCTTCATTTTTATGGTTTTTGCTCAGCTTTGTTTTACTTAAACGCGCATGATTTTGTATGTGCGCCCTCACACACACAAACGTTCAGGTTTCTGTGTTTACTGGCTGCTCTCCAGCAGAGGAAGGAAGTCTCGGAGCCCACCATGGAAAAAACTGAATACATGTTTTTTTTTTCCCCCCCCTGGAGAATAGAGTTATAATCAACTACAAAGCCCTGTCTACATGTGTTGAAAATGTTGTGTAGCAGAACAATAAGTGTGTCATATTGTCAYCGTTGGCCTGATTTGTGTCGATGGTTTCCTGCAGGTCACAGGACAGTGTCTGTGCAAACCAGGATTTGGTGGCAGGACGTGTCAGGAGTGCAAAGAGCTTTTCTGGGGAAATCCAGAGGTTGAATGTCGAGGTAGGACTTCATCGTTCATCACAAATGTTTACATCGCTCCCGAGTGGACGGATCTCTTCTGAGATTCCTCAGATGCTCTGCATTTTTTTTGTTCAAACATAAAGAATTAAGACTTTAACCACACAAAAATGATATGGGGAATTTTATCTTATCATACAATGGCTAAATAAAGTCCRACAAAAGAAAAAATGTAAGCCATTGTAACTCATAAAGATCTCTTTATTCCTTTAAATATTTAATGAATGGTTTCATTTTGGACTCTTAAAGATAAACATCTAAGCAAACACTAACTTTTGTTGGAATTTCTTTACATACAAGARAAATAAATCGTAAATAGTTTGAAAAAGTTTAGATATCCTCAAACTTTCCACCAAACAAATTTACAGTTTAAGGAATGTGACTCAGTTTTTGTTCCTTTTCTCAGGCTTTATGCTCTTTTTTTGTGTGTTTTCTGTGTACATGTAATGTAACACATGAGGTAACGTAACAGTAGTGACTTAAAGGCAACAACTTCAAACCAGCAGCCCTGAACCAGCAAGATGTTGTTCAGAAAGGTCTATTATCAGCAGAACAAACTGAAGARTTGTTCTGGTTGAACCCATGCTACACAGTAGCCGCTTCACCATCAGGAAATAAAATAAGAGGCAGAAACACAGGGAGGAAAAAAAAAAGAAAAGACAGGAGTAAGGGTAGAAAATGGGAGTGACCTTGCTCATGGGAACCAGATGTTCTCCGACGATTCCCAGGCATCCCTGCTTCGTCACGGACAAACAACCAGAGATCATGAAATTCGRAATTTATTCCAGCTGTAATCCCTATGCTCCATAAGCTGTTAGTCCAGCTGTTTGTTGCTTCCTGTCAGCACAGATGACTCGTTAATGCTGTTGTTTTATGACAAACGCTGTGAAAAATGAGTGGAGGGGCTGTGCAGTTAGCTCCTATAGGCTGTAAGAATCTGAGGGCAAACCAGGAGTTTTTCTCTACAAGCAGGTGTTCTGTTTTACTGTGACCGAAACAACTTTAATCAGGGTCCTCTTCGCTTCATCGATGATATAAATAAATGCAGACCTGATTGTGTCCCTGCATTCTTTCTGTCTGACTCACCACGGCCCTCCGTTTCAAAGGAGGGAAGGAAATCCTCCTGTTTGTTTTTCCGGCGGTGACCAGAACTGAAGGGATCAGCAGGACCTTCTGGGTCAAACTGTCATGTTTTTGTTTACTGTAGGTGGAGGAGTTTTAAATGATTTATAAACGACTGTGTTCCCGAGGACACACAACAGGTTTAAATTGATCATACAAGTCTTGTAATTAAAGAAGTGGTGTCGCAGATTTTGTTCACTTCTTTACGTTTTCTTCCACTGTTTTGTGTGTTTCCAGCTTGTGACTGCGAGCCACGGGGAATCTCCAGTGAGCAGTGTCACCGAGCCACGGGTCTGTGTACCTGTGTGGAGGGTGTTACGGGACCAAGGTGTGACAAATGTGCCAGGGGCTACCTGGGCGAGTTCCCCAACTGTGAACCCTGTCACCGGTGCTTCGCCGTCTGGGACACGGTGGTTGGCGAGCTGACCAARCAAACCCAACGACTGGAGGCCCAAGTGACGGAGTTGCTGACCAGCGGGGTGACGGCGCCTTACAAAGAGTTGGTCAGCAGCTTGGAGAGAAACGCCAAGGCTGTGAGGGCCATCATAGAGAACAGGACGGCCTCAGTGCAGCTGGAGCAGATTCAGGACCTGATGCATCAGATTACGTYCGAACATCAAAGCCAGCTCTTCTACGGGCTTTTGTTTCTTAGTATTCATTGCTGTCTCATTGTATTTTCAGTGGCTTGATGTCATATTTCAACGGAAAGTTGAATACGACCGAGGAGAGTTTGAGCTTTCTCCACAATGAAGCCAACATTACAGATATTAGGCTTGATGAACTGACGGATGAGGCCCAAAAGCTGGAGCAGAACATTCAAGAGCTGAAGCAGCAGGTCCTCGACGCCAAGAACGCCAACATCTTRGGTGAGAAATCAAACTGGAGTTCCATTTTAGGGTTTTGTTTGATTAGTTGAATTTTAGAAAACCGTGCTATATTTCAAGCTCAAGTAATTTATTCTTATTTCAAATATTCAGAACATTTCAACCTGTTAAAACTTGAAGAATGGGCATCCCACAAGGGTCTGTTTTAGGACCATTACTCTTCTGTTTGACAATGCTATCATGTGTATTACTACTGCAAAATCTCCTCAAACAGTTCATGAACAGGCAAATAGTGTGGGTGCCACGGTGATTTAAGGATCTTTACTTTGTTTGTTGCACCAAACAGTTTGGATGTATTTTACAATGAGAAGCAAAGTGTGCAATTTTTTTTATTGTTGTCAATAAGAGAAAAGATCAAAATGAGGATGAGCTTGTTGTGGGTATTTTACCTGAGGAATTCAAAGATTGACAGCTGATAAATTTATTGTAGAATAATAATATAATCAATGAAGCTTAATTTCTACAACGCCGTTAATACAAGTCCAATGAAATTCAAATTATTAGTAAAAAAATGAATAACTAGAGACAGCAAGAAAGATGATCAGWTTGTAAGATAAAGCTATCCTGTGTAAAAGCCATGTTGTGATTCAGTCACATCTTTCTTGGTTCTGTTTAAAGCCAAAACAAAACAACAAACTAAAGCAACAATGATAAAACTATAAAGTYAAACCAAAAAAAATGATACTGAGACAGAGACACAGAACAAACTAGAATAAATAACTCACGTTCAGTGTTATACCAGTGTGTCTGACTTTCCTAAACAAATTCATCCATTCCTTCAATTTTATGGTTTACAGGAGCCATAAGCACTGTTATTATGGCAKACACCGAGTCCAGAATGGCTGAGCTGCGCTCCAACGCGTCAACAAGTGATCCTGGCAACACTGTGGAGCAGTCAGCTGCAGTACGGAAAGCCACAGAGGACAAACTGAGCAGCAGCCAGAAAGAATTCGATCGAAAACACCAAAGAAACGAAAAGAAGCTGGACAAACTTTCCAAAGAGCTGGACAAATTTGACTTGTCCCCGCTTAGTGAGAAGGTGAGAAACCAATGAAAATATTGTTGAGGAAAAAAAACAGTTTCCTGAACGAGAACCTCAACTCGTGTTTTATGTAGATGTGTGGCGGTTCAGCAGAAGGTGAAGACTGTCCCCCCTGCGGTGGACTGGGTTGTGTCGGGGAGGACGGAGCGCCTCAGTGTGGAGGAGAGGGTTGCCGAGGTCTGGTCACGTCTTCAAAAACTGCCCTCAAATCAGCCCAGGACCTGGACCAGGACATCCAAGAGGCCATGCAGGAAGTGGACAAGCTCTCCAGGATGGTAAGTGGGTTTTTAATTTGTTGTAAAAAAAATAATAAAATAAAAATTTCAGGCAAATGTGAACATATGTCAAAGGTGTGGGAAGCCAACATCCGAGCAAARGAGGCCAAGGCCAAAGCGATGGAGGTGATGATCAAATCCAACCGCAGCAAAGAGCGAGTTGAAGAGAGCAACAATCAACTCCGCGACCTCATCAGAGAGATACGAGACCTTCTTTCCAGTGAGAAACGGCTGTTCGAATACATCTCAGAGTCRGGTCCAGTTCTATTAAAGCTCTGAACGACTTCTCTGTTGTCCGTTKTGTTCATCCAGACGAGAAGGCTGACGCAAACGTGATTGAGGCGGTGGCCAATGAGGTGCTGGCTCTGGAGATGCCGACGTCGGCGGAAAAGCTGCAGGAGCTGACAAACGAGATCCGAGACAGGGTCAGCACCCTGACCAGCGTGGAGACCATCCTGAGCCAGAGCTCTGAGGAGATGCAGGCTGCAGAGCTGCTGCTGAGACAGGCCAAGGCTGCCAGGTGAACCTCAGCAGAACCGCCCAACAGCCCCAAACCAGCTCTTATTCCTTTATATTTTATTTTCAGCATAGCAGACAGATTTTCTTTTAATCTTCTAAAGTGGATCAATGGTTCTTGGATTTCCTGAAGGTCTTTAGAATTTGTTTTTGTTAAAATAACTTGGCTCCTTCAACCTTGACCAATGAACTATTCAAAACTCATTAAGCATAACATTTCCAAGCTCTTATTTAGTAACAAAAGTACATCCCATATCAGGAGTTAAGTTTGGATATTAGAAGTGAAAACCAATAATCCTGACTACCACGTCATATGAGATCCATAAAACAAACCAGAGTTCAAAAAACATAAAAATCTACTGATCAAGACCACTTTAAATGAAAACATGATTGTTTGGATGCTTGGAAGCAAAGTGTAAAGAACTGAATTGATGTCCTGATGCTAAACTGCTACAAATAACTTCAGTTTAGGAAAACCTAAAGCTCCTTTTCTGTCCATTAGTGAGGAGGCATCAAACGTAAAAGAGACAGCAGACACAGTGAAGGCTGCCCTGGATGACACCGAGCGCGCTCAGAGCACCGCTCTGGATGCCATCCGGCTGGCTCGAGAAAACATTGTGGGAACAACGAATCTGCTGATTTTGGTGAGTTTGACCTGAATGTTCACCAAACAAAAACCACAGAGACACGAAGAACAAGAGAAAAGTCTGCACGTTTCAGCTCTGACTGGTAAATTTATTTTACTATTTTCAGGTTGAGTCTGAGACYGAAAAGTCAGAGCTGAAGCTCAGCAACGCCACGGGTCGCCTGGTGCAGCTGGAGCGAGACGTGGGCCTGCTGAGGCAGAACAACCTGGAGATGAAGCAGCAGGTGGAAAAGACAGAGCGGATCACGGAGCAGGCCCGACAGAACGCAGAGGACGCGCAGCAGGTCTCAGATCGACTGTTCTCTCAGCACATGCCGTTTACAGTGTTTCCACTTCCACTCTCATCAGCTTTGTGCTTTTTTTTTCCTTCCTTTTTTTTCCCCGTGTGCAGGAGTTTGACGATAAGGTGAAAGATCAATTCGAGACCTTGGAAGAGCAGGTGGCAGGTAAAGCAGAGTCGGTGTTGCAGGCGAGAAAGAAAGCAGATGAGCTGCAGCAGGAAGCCAAGGAGCTGCTGGAGCAGAGCAGCATTAAGCTGCGGAGACTCGAAGGTGAGCTGCTTTACTGATGGTTGGAAAAAAAACTATGTTTAAAGTGCTGCTACTAGATTATTTATAAAGCACTTTAAAACAACAACAGCTGCAACTACAGTTTAAATGATAAGAGCTACAAAAACTAAAAAACAGGATTAAAAAAAGGCGCGCCAACAGCCAGGGAATAAAATGAGTTTTTTGGGTTTTTTGTTTACATATTTTTCACAGAGGAATGGGTGCAAGTT